CTATGCTAGGTGGCTTTCTTTGTGTGAATATATGTTTACGAACCTCCACATCAGTTTCCCCTGTTTCAGCTGTTCGCGGGAATTTGCAGATTTCTAGTGATTTTCTTCTTTTTTTGATTTCTCGATTATTCCACCACTTGGCAGCCTTGACCTTGGGCTTCCAGGGTAGTAGTGCTGATTCCAGTATCGCCTTTGTTCAAGTGTGTTTTTTTCTTTTTTTATTTATTTTTTCCTCCTTTGGGGTGTTAATTCTAGTACAACCTTTCTTTTCTCGATTACTTTTTTCTGCACATAAATATGGTGTGTTCAACTGCTGCTCCTTGTGAAGGTCTGGCAAGGAAAGGTTTGACATTTTGTAGAGGGTGAGCAAGAAATAGACACTTGATTTCTATTCCATCAGACTGGCTTGGGTCTCGGCTTCTCCTCCTCCTTCTCATTTCTCCCAACCTCTCCTCGAGAACCACTGCCCTTCCCTGAACTTGACCCTTGTTGAGGATAAGAACCAGTGGACCACGGTCTTCTGTCGTCGCTGCCGCCGGCTTAGGCCTGCATGCCCTGCCTCATCCCCGCCTTTCGGAGTCGACCACAATAGTCCGATCTCTTTTAAAACGGTGTTGATCTAGACACGTGTCACTCAAGAACCTCGGCATGGCTCCACCCCGGGACCCTTCCTCTTCGACATGTGCCAACCCAACTCCACCACCTCTTTCAAATTTTCCACCCTCTCCTCCCCCTAGTACTCACATGCCTCCGTGTCCCCCGAGTGTCACGTGGCTTCCAGTGCCTTACCTCTTAATGACTCTCCTGGCAACCCATCTAACCCCGTCGCCCTTCTCTCGTTGTCCTCTGCTGACGACCTGCCCCTACTCACCCTCTCGCTTGTCCACTCCCCCCCCCCCCCAGTCCACCTTGGACAATCTCTCACCCTGGTGCACTTGAAGGGTCGACCTTCTCTTCTCTTCCTCACGTTTCTCCATCATTGGCCCCTTGGGATCATCCCTCTTCCCCACGTTTCTCCATCATTGACCCCTTGGGATGATCCCTCTTCTCTCCGGTCTCTCTCCCCCTCCCCCTCCCCCCTCCCACTACTCTCTTCTCTCCCTTCTCTACCCTACGCTCGCTTCTCTCCCTTCGCCTCGCTCTCGGTCTCTCTCTCTCTCTCTCTCTCTCTCTCTCTAAACCTTTCCCTCCTCTCGCCCTCCTCTCGACCACCTGCTTGTAAGCCCTGTCTGTGGAAGACTGCCCCTCGGGGCCCCCAAACCTGCTTCGTCAAGGATCTCTTCTCTGCCCCTTCGGGGCCCAAACCTTTCATGTCCACACTCTCCTTTCAACCCTTCCTCCTGACCAAGCCGCCTGGCTTGAAAGACCATTTTCCAATGCTGAGATAGTCTCGGCCATTAAAAAGCCTCGGGCCAGGACCGCGCTTTGGGCCCTAATGGGTACCATGTTGCCTTTTTCAATCATTTTTGGGTCACGTTTCACCCTGAAATCTTAGAGATGTTCCATGCGTTCTGATTGTGGGATAATATGTAGGGTTATGAACATTTCTTTCGTCGCCCTAATCCCCAAAATTGAATGTGCGAAAGAACTCAAAGGCTTTCACTCCATTAGCCTTATAAACTTTTCCAATAAACTGCTTTCCAAGGTTTTGGCCTCTCGACACAAATCAGTCATTCTTTGGACCAACCCAAGGGGCTATTGTTAAAGATAGGCAAAACCTAGACAGCGCTCTAGTGGCACACGAATGCATCCGTTCTCGCCCTATATCTAAAATCCCAGGGATCAGTATCAAAATTGACTGGGAAAAGGCCTATGACCATGTCGACTGGAACATCCTTGACCAAATTATGAGTAGGAGGGTTTTGGCCAGTGCTGGAGAAAGTGGATCTCTGATTGCATCTCTAACCCGTTTTCTCGGTCCTCATCAATGGCTCTCCCAGGGGCTTCTTCCCATCCCAAAGGAGCCTCAGGCAAGGGGACCTTTCGCCTTTTCTCTTCACCATAGCAGCTGAGGTCTTCAGCCAATCCATCTCGGGATTATACAAAGCCAGTTTTCTCAAAGATTTCAAGGTGGGTGGGGTGTGGACTTGAAATTTCCCACCTCTAGTACGCAGACGATACTAGGTTGTTCTGCGATGCAGATGCCTCTCAAACGCGCTATCTCAAGCTTTTTCTCAAATGCTTTGAATTTGGAATCTGTTTTAGGGTCAACCTGCATAAGACCAAGATGATGGGGATAGTTGTGCAACCCATGTCCTAGACCTTGCAAACGTCTTGGGGTGTAGTACCAAGGACCTACCTTCCACCTATCTCGGCCTGCCTCTTTGTGACGGGAAATCCAAGGCTAATCAGTGCAGTTACATAGTTGACAAATTTGATCGTAGATTCACAAGCTGGAAGGGCAGATATCTCTCCCTGTGGGTCGTCACACCCTCATCAAAGCCACCGTCACTAACATCCCCTTCTTCTAGATGTCTTTGTTCATCATGCCAACCTCTATTGCAGACCACCTATGAGGAATTTCCTCTTGGCAGGGGATGACGGCAACAAATATCACCAGATTTCATGGGCCAGGGTCTGTAGCCCCAAGTCCCACGGTGGCTTGGGCATTCGCAGTCTGAGGCTCAACAACCTGGCTTTGTTAGGCAAATGCAGGTGGCGCTTCGCTACAAAAGACAACCATCTCTGGAAATCTGTTGTGCAACTCTCGCAATTGGTTCCCCACCAGGAGATCTGACCCACATCCTTTTGGAGTCTGCAGATCCTTTCTCCGCTGCCTCCTTTCTTTCGCCATCAACCTTCGCTTCTGTACCCGTGAAGGCTATTGGGTTTTCTTTTGGTCCCACATGTGGGTAGGACAGGCCCTCCTCAAAGGTTTCCCCTTCTATTTTGGGTGGCCTCGTATCCCCTCGCCATGGTAGCAGATAGTTTCTAACTTACTGGCCCCAGGAAAGTGTGGAACCCTTGATTCAGAAGACCTCTCTCGAACTTGAAAATCCCTGAGTTCCTTGCTCTTTCCTCCATCCTCCACTCTACCTTCCTTTCCTCCCATGGGACTGAACGGCTCATCTGGTCCCATGCTACCTCGGGCACTTTCATGGTCTCTTCCTTTTACAGGACCCTTCAACCTACTCCCCCTCCTAAGCTTCACTCTCTCTTGTAGCCAGAGCTTGATTCCCCCTCATCCCACCTAAAATTCAAATGTTTAGCTGGATAACCTTCTTTGAGAGAGCACTTATTGTAGATCAACTCCAAAAAAAGGAGCCACCAACTCCATAACAGATGTTCCATGTGCGAGGAGGAAGAGGAATCCAACCCGCACCTGTTTATCCACTGTAGGTTTGCTCACACGCTCTGGGGCCTGATACTTCAAATCTTTGTCTGGGAGTGGGTCACGCCCGCTCCCTTCCCACACCGCATCCAAGGTTTCCTTTCTCCTCCTTGGACCAAGCACGACATTGCCCTTTGGCGCACCTCGGTTGCAGCTATACTTAGTAATTTGATTGGAGCGCAATAGTCAGATCTTCATAGGTGAATCCACGTTGGTCCAGGCCATGTTACACAAAGTGACATCCTGGTCACTTTTTGGGCGAAATATCACAAGCCTTTTCCCCACTGCCCCCTCACGGATTTCCACTCAACTGGAGACTCTTGCTGACCCTTAGACCTGCGAAAATTTCTCACTCCTCCCCATGGAGACCATCTGAGCTGGGCCAAGTGAAGCTAAACTTCAACGGCTGCTTACTTGGCAACCCTGGCCCTGCCGGTATCCGGGGTATTTGCAGAGATTCTAATGGAAACACCATCCTCATTCTCCCTCTTCTTCGGACACACCAATCCAACTGTGGCTGAAGCTTTAGCCCTCCTCGTGGTCCTCTGCCATTTTTATCCTTCTTGGAGCAATTCCCTCATCAAAGTGGACTCCAAAAACGTCATTGCTTGGGTCTCTGGCTCCTCATCTTGCCCCTGGAGACCTACTTACATCTTTGATGAAATCTCTCAACTTTGCATGGCTACATCCATGGATTATCGGCATATTTGGAGGGAGGCCAACACCGTAGCCGATGCCCTTGTTAAAGGAGGAGGCACCCAGCAGAGTGGCTCCGAGACTTTTGAGCACCTTTTTGAGCTCTAAACGTCAATTGCACGATCTTTTGTTATATTTTTTTTTGGACCCTGTAGGGGTTTTTGTATATGATCACCCGCTATGAGGGTACAAAAAACAGTTTAAAAAAAAAAAGAAAAAAAGTAGAAGTAATGGAGTGGCAGCTGAGATGGGCTGTTGGCTCAGGCATGGTGGAGGTTGTTGTGGTTTATGAGCGCTTCTTGATGGATAAGAGTTTTGTATTGCAGAGGTCCATGGGGTTCTACTGTGTTGATGGTAGGGGTGGCAATGTGCTGGGTGACCCGGCTCAGCCCTAAAATACCAGGGCTTGGGCCCCAAAACCTGGCCTATGGGCCGGGCAGGCCAGGGCACAACAGGGTTGGTGCCCTGGTCCTCTTTTTTCTTTACCAGCCCTACTTAACGGTGTGGGTTCCAATAAGAGTTCCATTGGTTGGTATGAGATGAACGTTAATGGGGTTATTGTTTGTGCAATGAAGGTAGCAGACCCGGTAGTCAAAATCATAGCCAGAACAAAGGAATCGTTGGTTTGTTCTAAATGTAGCTTTACATCCTAATTCATGTAAAATGAGGAAAACTTAATTTGTTTGTAACCTTGGTTGGTTATGGGCGTTGCTTGAGATGTTTGACATACTTCGGTTATTATTCTTTTTTGTTCTTTCCTTTTTTTTTGGGGGTGGGGAGAGAGAGCGAGAGTAGCATCCAAATTGTATTTTAGGGAAGCAACAAAAAGCCGAGAATTCGAACATACACCTTCCATGTTATGTCTTTTTCCCTGGAATTTGTTTTTCATTGATGAATATTTTGTCCTGGATATTATTCTTGATGTATTAATATTACTATCAAACTTTGATTGGCTCCTGGGGTATTTGTACAGCAGTAAGGCAATTTATCATTGTGATGGTGCCTGATTTCCAAACATAAACTCCTGGAGCAAGTTGTGTTGTCACACTGAAAGGTGAAGGGGCCATGGCGGTGGCGGATAGAGTCCCCACGTTTGCTTTGCTTGGTTTTATCAGGCACGATTGGGGAAGAGGGACTCACTCGTGTGCCATGCATTGTTTTTGTTTATGGCGTAGTCCATGCCGTGTTCATCTGAGGCGTTTTGTTTTTCGAGGACTGTGTCCCTATGCTCAGAAGTCCCACCCTTGTTGATTTTACAGAGTTTTGGCACTGAGCCTTTTGTACATGTTAACTGGACTTACCTTTTTGGAGGCTTGCTCCCCATTTTTTTTTGTGCTCCCCGCAATTTTTTTGTGCTCATTAAGTTTTATTATAAATTAATTTATTCTTCTTTCGCTAATATTGTATGTTTACCTTTTGTCTGTTTCAGACACCTTTTGCGTGGTGCTTGACATGCACACAACGCCAGAAGGTTCCCGGCTTTTAGAATAGGAAAACGTTTAAGGCCGTAAACAACCAAATTAGGGCACATCTCAAAAATTTACTAGAAGATGTTTTGATATCAAAAAATCGTCAAATCGATCTCGACATCAAGATGTATGGACATGAAAAATAAATATTAAGTTTTGAAAATACTGCGTTTTGTAATGCATTTTTTGGAAAGTCAATTTTCAAGTGTTCATAGATCTATACCATTTTTGAAACTTTATATTGTATAATAGAGGTGAAAATGATTTTCTAGCTATCCTAAAGATTTTCCTTATAGACGCGTCTTTTGACACTAGTTTAAGTAAAATATTTATGTAAGTGTGAGGCTCTAAACAATCAAAGTAGGGTGTAGCTCAAATGTTTTGATACCCAAATATCCTTAAATTGATCATCTTGACTTCAAGATGGATGGACATGAGAAAAAAATTGATTTCAAGTTTTGAAAATAGTGCATTTTTGGACCGTCAATTGTCAAGATTTTAACTTTTTATAGATCTGCTCGATTTACAATATTTTTTTGAAGCTTTGAATTTATAATTAGAGATAAATATATTTTAAAATAATGATCTTATAAGCCCTTCGTATATACGGGCTGCTCAGGACCTTTTTCAGTCACGGTCAAATCTTCTTACATATACGGATGATATATAAGGTGCTGAGTCACCCGATAAATTTCTTCCGCATTCTCTCACTAATCTCCATATTCTTCCTCCCTCTCTGTGAAACCCATCGTCTCCAATTCTCTCTCATCAGTTGTAACAATCGATATTGAAAATACGATCTCTGTCTCCATAAAAACCATAAAAACGAGGGAAAACCAATTTTCTCCACTAGAGAACCAGTAAACTGTTGGCATTCGGGAGTCCTTTGATGCACACAAACACCATTTCCTCTTCTTCTCTTTTCAATCCATGTGATTCTGCAACCTGTGCTTTCTTGAATGCGAGGCTCGATTGAAAATTGATTATAGAATGACCTAATTTGGGTTTTTTTTTATGTACTTTTATTAATGGTTATATTTTGGAGATTTTTAAAAATTATTTTAGTTTAGATTATTAGGGTGCTGATTTTGTGAGGAGTCAACGTTAATTTGCAACAATTGGGTTGGTTAGTTTGAAGAATATAAATATGATAAGATTAAATTTAGAGGGTTTATCTTTTCAACAATAACCAACATTGGGAGGGTTTGAGTAAAATGTAGGCAAATTATTTTAGAAGCAAATCTTTGGTACGTGAAGTTAAGATAGAGAAACTAGGGCGAAGAGATAAATAGAGAAATTAGGGCGAAGAGATAAATAGAGAAATTAGGGAGAAGAGATAAAGTAGAAAAAGTATGTGTCTAGAGAGAAGGTTTTTTTGTTTAGTTATTATTTATCTTCTTTTTAATCTATTTAAAGGGAAATCTCACTTCATTGTAAATCAGTGAATAAATTGAATAAAAGTTGGTCTCGTGAAGATATTGTTTTGGGGTGGATTCCGTTGCAAACCTTTGAGAGAGGGTATAATATCGCAATCTTTCTTTCTTTTGTTGTTATTTTTCTGGTTTTATTTTCTCATTGCATCAATTAGTATCAGAGCGAGCTACGATGGCTTCAATGGAGGTATCCCTCGAAAGACTAAAGTTGTGGTTGTTGACTCAAAAAGTTCAAGCCCTAGTAGAGAAAGAAGAAAAACTCATGCCTTTAGCTGATAGAGTGAAAGAGCTCACGCAGAAGGTCGCTTAGCTTTGGTGCGAATGGAATTTGGAGAGTAGTGTTGGTTGTTATTTTTCTGGTTTTATTTTCTCATTGCATCAATTAGTATCAAAGCGGGTTACGATGGCTTCAATGGAGGTATCCCTCGAAAGACTAAAGTTGTGGTTGTTGACTCAGAAAGTTCAAGCCCTAGTAGAGAAAGAAGAAAAACTTATGCCTTTAGCTGATAGAGTAGAAGAGCTCACGCAGAAGGTCGCTCAGCTTTGGTGTGAATGGAATTTGGAGAGTAGTGTTGGAGATCAAGGCAATGAAGGTGAAGGAGGTGACTTTCATCTCGTTGCGATATTCCTGAGATTAAGTTTTCTATTCATGTTGAAAATCATGTGGAAAATCCTATCTTAGAGAAGGCATTGGATTTTGAGGACAATGTCAATCACAAGCCCATAAGTGATGAAAGGATGGTTGAGTTCAAAATATTTGGATTAATCCATCTTTCTTCATATTTTGATCCATGTATTTTTACAACCATCATATTTTTAGACCCAAAGGAGAAGAAGGTAAAAGAAACATGTGGGTTTGATGTAGATCTCATCTTAGTCCTCTTCAAAACTCGAGGACGAGTTTTCTTCCAGTAGAGGAAATTGATGCAGTCATGGAATGACCTAATTTGGGTTTTTTATGTACTTTTATTAATGGTTATATTTTGGGGATTTTTAAAAATTATTTTAGTTTAGATTATTAGGATGTTGATTTTGTGAAGAATTAACCCTAATTTGCAACAATTGGGTTGGTTAGGTTGAAGAATATAAATAGGATAAGATTAAATCTAAAGGGTTTATCTTTTCAACAATAACCAAGGTTGGAAGGATTTGAGTAAAATGTGGGCTAACTATTTTAAAAACAAATATTTGGCTCGTGAAGTTAAAAGAGAAAAAATATAGAGAAGAGATAAAGTAGGAGAAGTTTGTGTAGAGAGAGATTTTTTTTGTTTAGTTATTGTTTATCTTCTTTTTAATATATTTAAAAGAAAATCTCCTTTTATTGTAAATCAATGAATGAATTGAATAAAATTTGGTCTCGTCAATAAATTGTTTTAGAGTGGTTTCCCGCGCAAAGCTTTGAAAATAAGGTATCGTCTCTCAAGCTTTCTTTTTTGTTTTATTGTTATTTTTCGGATTTTGTTTTCTCCTTGCATCATAAAGACCGGCAATGCCCATGTGTTCAAGGCCGATCTCCCTAACTCAAGAAAGATGAGGTGAAGGTGGCGTTAGAAGATGAGAAGGAGATGAAGATAAGTGGAGAGAGAGAAGGAGATGGAAGTGACGATCAACAAGTGGCACATGGTTGAGAGAAGCCAGGGCAAGGTTTTGAGGAGGTTCAAGCTCCCTGAGAATGCGAGCGAATGTAGATGGGGTGAAGGCGGCCATGGATGGGGTTCTCACTTTGACTGTTCCCAAAGTTGAAACCCCAAAACCTAATGTCAAATCCATTGAGATCTCTGACTGATTTCTCAATTTTCCAGCCAAATTTTTGGATTTGCTGGCTGTGTAAGATGGATGTGAGAGAATGAGTGGTAGGGATATGCCTATGCAAGTGTACAAAAAATATTGAGAATGATGGGGCATTTGTGTGTAATAGGCTAAGGTTTATTTGGAATGGACAAGAACCAAGTGAATAAAGTTTTGAATGGGTAAAAAAGTTGGGTTTGAAGTTTCTGTCTCTAATGCCACACTTTTCATCTCTCTTCCTCTGAGATGAAAGTTAGGGTTTGGGGGTTCTTGAATTGACAAACATAGGTACAAAAATGGTGAACATACCCAAAAGCTTTTTAGGGAAGAAAGTTAGCTTTTTACCTGGTTATAGAGAGAGGGATTATATATATATATATATATATATATTAACCATTTCAATCATTTAGTTTCTATCTTTACCGGGGTGACTCAGTACCCCATTTGTCATTTCTAAGAGGGTTGGTATCTATATTTTACTGGGTGACTCAGCAGCCCATATATCATTGCGATGTGTAAGAAGATTTGTCAGTGATTGAAGGAGGTCTATGCAGCTCATATATGTGAGGGGTTTATATGATCATTACTCTATTTTTAAAGCTATTCAGGAATAAAACCACATTCCTTGATACTATTTGAAGGCACGTTTTATTTTGATTGTTTATAGAGCCATAGCCTTATACAAACCATACCCCTATTTGGAGGTGCATCTTATTTCTTGGGGCCTCAGCCTATATAAACGACACATTTTAAAATAAGGTTGATTAAATATAAGGGTAATTATGTGGCCAAAACCTTTATGAAAAATGCAATTGTAGCATCAAAAGCTACTATAATGGCTTGAAAATTTATTTTGCTTTTGATTATGAAATGAAATTTAAAGTACCATAAATAATACAGATCTAGAGATACCGAGCTTTTGAAAATAGATGTTTTAGATAATATATAGTATGATGCACTATTTTTTAGCTTGAAATCTATTTTTGTCCTAATTTTCTAGGTTAAGACATCAACTCTAGGGTTTCTAGAGCTTGAAATTTCATAAGGTTTGAATTTGAGCTTTAAATAGTCACGGCCTTATAAAAATAATAAAAAATTGTGATATGGCCAAATATGTGAAAAGCATGAAATGCGAAACTAAAACATTTTTGTACAAAATAGGGTCGCCAGCTGCTATTGCATGGACATTGACAATTGGTACATAACTAACATTATACAGAAATTCTCGTCCCTCCTGCTCCCTTCTCTGTTTCCTGCATTCTCTCTACCTCTCTTTATCTCTGTCTCTCTCTCTCTCCACTGCAAAAATGCAGCCCTAGCTTATCTTACTCCCTCTCTCGCTATTAGACCAGAGCTCCCACCCCACCCCTCTTTCTCTCTTTCGCTGTGCGTAAATCTTTCTCAAAAGCCCCAATCTCCTTGTCCTATAACCCTAAAATCTTCCAAATCTTAAAAGCCCCAATCTCCCCGTCTTATAACACTAAAGTCTCTCAAATCCCTTTGAACCGAGACCTTGCTCTCAAGTCCCTCAAAGAAACATTCAAGCATCATGTACATTTTTCTAGTGATTTTTGTAGGGATTTTCTAGTTATTTTTTCCAATACTTGTTTTGTTATTTGCAACTAACGTTTGACTAGTGAG